CTGACTATCCCAACTGTCTTCGGCTGTTGTGATGACATACAGTATGACGTAGTTTCAGAGACAGGGCAGGATGGGAGAAGACGAGGGGCTACTGTTTGAATTTGATTTGACTCTCACTTTGCTTTTAATGGTCAGAAATTAGAGGGAGAAGTTAGTTAATGCAGCTTTAAAAACAATACTTGTATACTTAGTAACATAATATGAATACAGATATAATCTAAATAGTGAAAATGTAAAATGGACAAACATGCTAGGATGAAGTCAAGTTTACCAAAGTTGCCCATCTGAGTCCAGCATTCACACACTACTTTCAGAGGCCTCAGTAACTGAAAAATAAACACTCTGCCAATGAATATTTCCACTGATTGGCACTGGAACTGATGTTAAAAAAGTCTGTGAGTCCAGCCAGCAAGCAGACTCTTCAAATAGCTCGCCACAACTCTCTTAGATTCCCATTATCCTCACCTCTCTCTATAGAAATTCATTCAGCATCTATTTGACACCAACAAACATGAGGCCCCATGCAAACACATGCATAAAGACCTCAGTTGGTCTCCTGTGTCCCCGTGTAGCTTTAAGCATTATGGTTATTTTTATAATAACTAAAACTGTGGGTGTGGACGGTGCAGTTATGACACAGCTGACATCACAGAACCTTTAACTGTTACTACTGAACTGACAGCAGCAGCTCACAGTGTGTTGAGGTGGTGGAAAAACCGCTGTTTTCAGTTTCCAACAGAGCAACTTGGTCCAACACATCCTCTCTGTGAGGCTGCAGTGCCTGTGGGCGCAGTTTGGCGGAGACTGGCAACACTGTGAGACCTTCCGTAGGGAGTGAGGGAAGTATTTTGCTTATCCATAGCCAATTAAAACATAAAGTAACAGATTAGCCTTCCGTCAGAGAATGGAAAAATGAAGACACAGCTCCTCTTCTTATTTACATACGCTGTATGTTGCTACACAGACAGGTGAATACTGCACCTGTTATGCATGATAATGGATCACTTAGAATAAGCTTGATGCATGACAGACTTTAAAAGGCACAATCATGTGTGCCAGGAAGGCAGCTACTAGCACTGCCAACATTGTCTCAGCGCTGTGTGGTGGATGGAACAGAATACAAGACACCTTGTCAATATGTTTCCTATATGAGAGGTAGTCTTTTGGTTAAGCAACTTGGGAGATGTTGGGTGGTTCAGGCCATGACAGTCAACAGTTTGGCAGTAGATAATAAAATCGAACTGTGAGGAACAAGCGCCAATCTGGGACCTCACAAGGCATCGCAAATTTACCTGTATGTAGTGTGACACACAGATTATCGGTGAGCTACAAACATCAGCACAGCAGATATTTCCAACTGCACCACCCTAATGGTAAGCGGGGTGCAGGCCTGTAGCTGACTGCCTACCTGTGCTGAGAAGCAGGAGGACCTTCATGGAGAGGAACTCGTTGTAGGTTAGCTGCAGTCGCACAAACTCCTGGCTCACCTGCCTCATGCCCAGACATAAGTCATACATGGCTGATGTCCGCATGCGTTCCCTGTAGAAGGACCAGAGAAAGGAGGAGGGAGGGGAACATGACAACAAAAGCTTTTTTAAACCTCACAAAAAGTAGTATTTCTTTCAGAAGTCCTGCTCAGATTTACACAGTATGTATTTATTCTTCATTTAATCTCAGTAATAATGATTTTTTATTCTTTTGTTAAAGCTAACGCACTCACTGGCTTCTTCGCTCCATTCCTACCACACTATATCAGACCAGTGAGACAGTATAGTCACACATTGCAGAGGAGGTTTCTGCTAGACTGGGCTAAGAGCAGAATACCAAATCCCCCCCAGACTGCAGACGCTACGTACAGTATCACAGCCCAGATGCATCCCTTTTTCTAAGCATGTGGTAGACTAGGAAAGGCCCCAGAACTAAAAGTCCAGTCACCACAGAAACACCTTTAACATGTGTATTTTCCAATTTAACTATGTTAACAGAAATGACACACATAAACATGGTTTACTACACACACAAAAGTGTATACGCAGGCTCCTCATGCCTAACGCTCTCACTACCCTTCTTTTTCATACGCATTTTGTCAGGAGAATAATCTCAGTTTTGTCACAGAGTTCACAAAACAGGAAAGAAACATTAGGAAGGATAAAGCACGAGCCAATCAGAAATGTGCTCTCCAAATGCCACAGATTCAAGGGAATCTCTGACTTTCTCTCTGCTATAAATCACCATGACACTGAGACTGCAGTAATTAAATGCAAATGGCGTGGCTTGACTTGAAAGGGTTCTGAGCTTTACCCACAGTACAGTGAAACTATATCATCACACAGGCAGGGAGGGTGGAGACTTCGCTCTGATAACAACTAGACTAAACATTTTGTAAAGGGGACCAGAAGCAGTCGATTCGGAACAAGTGCATAGCTTCTGCGATAAAGCATAAGACAGCATAGTGCTTCGCAGTATGTGTTGTACATCTGTGCCCGACTAAATGACTGATAAACTGTGAGCAGACCTGTTTCACCGCTACGCAGCTCTGAGTATGTGAGCAGTTTCTCAAAGCGCAGCATACCATCATTTGATACAACTTTGGGCTGAAGTTTCTAAAGTCTCCACACGTTTCCTCTCTCTCCTCCTCCTGCACTCTCTTCCTGAAATGAATTTTGCTGAATCACTGCCCAAAATGAGCTGCTGGTTTTGGGGAGGAAAGGAAAAAACTGGCAGCAATCTCTCTCCTTCCCTCCCTCACTTGTTCTCATCTCCCTGTCTCACTCTCTCTTTGGTTCTCTTCCTGTCTGTCTCTCTCAGTACTGAGCCCTACCTGTTTCTCTGTTTCTGTGGTAAAAGATTCAAGAAGGAGCTTCAGAACTGAGGAGAAAGAAGTGTTCAGATTTGATTGGAAGAAGTCAACAACATTTCTAAGTTCAGAAAAATGTCCTAATACATTGCTTAAAGTCTAACTGAAATATCAATATATTGGTCAAATATCCTGTCAAAGTAATTCTAAAATGTACAGCTTTTAATACTGAAAGGTTGAAAATGTCTCCAGAAATGCTCCTTTATCCTTGAAGCCTTTGAGTGTGTGGGCCAGTGCATGTGTGACACAATGTAAAAGACACAATGTGCCACGGAAAAGTAGCTCGCCTCCAAAACAATCCACTTGCTCGTTCCCCTCGTCATACTATCGCCGGAGGCGGGCTACCTTTCCGTGATCATCTTGCACCACTAATTGCAGTTTGCAAGTGTTTTTCTTTGTTAGAAGCGGTATTGGCAAATAAGGACCAGTCCCTATAGACCTGACTGACATTGATAACTACAGGTAAAGCTGTTTAAGATGCTACAGCCTAAATAGCTGATTGATTGGTCATATGATAAAAGACAGAAGCAAATGAACAGTTTTTTTCTTGTAAACTTTGTCTTTATGTAATGAACATTGTTTATACTGTATATGTTGCTTTTCATTTCTACCTTTAGATTATTCCGCAGACGGGTAACACGTTAAAGGAAAACCCAACATAAAATATCTTAGTAAGGGGGTTGGGCCACCGCATGCAGCCATAACAGCTTCAGTGCTCCTTGGCGTTGATTCTACAAGTCTCTGAACTCTGCTGGAGGGATGAATGCCATTTTCCCACAAGACATTCCCTCATTTGGTGTTTTAATGCTGGTGGGGGAGACGCTGTCTAACATGTCGCTCCAGAATCTCCCATAGTTATTCAGCTGGGTTGAGATCTGGTGACTCTGAAAGCCACAGCGTATGATTCACATCATATTCATATTCACCAACCCATTCAATGACCGCTCATGCCCTATTGATGGGAGCACTGTTATCCTGGAAGAGACCACTTATTTGTTCAGGTTTTGCCCTTAATTTGTTGCCCGTCTGTATATTCATCATGTAGATTAAGTGAATCATGGGTGAGTGCCCAGAACTTTTAGGGAAAAAGCTTTATCTTGTGTAGACATTTACGACACATCAAAGACTAATTGATAGAGATTACGCAGGCTTACTTTGTCTTTAATGTAAAATGCACATCTGTCTTTGCAGAATTTACTCTCAATCAGTGACAGATTTCACTCTAATAGCTGAGTGAGTGGACAGTCTATTCAATAAATGCCTTAAAGCCCTGAGTCAGTACTGTAAGCACTAAGTAGCTATGGAAACAAGTGTACACTGTCCATTCCCCCAAAGCCTGAGGGGACTCAGCAAAGTTGTGGACCAATGCATGGTGGTCATGTGCTCCCCAATAGAGCAGCGAGCGTGTGAGCAACATCCGGGCCACCACTATCTCCAGCCAGTCTATATCTCCTCTGCTCTGTCAAGCTGAATACCAGGCCCATCCATCAATGGGACAGGCCTGGACTACAGAAAGTGCATCAAACGGTAGCAGCTGCACATTGTACAGTAAAAATAAATAGATGTTCTCCAAAAACAGTTAGCCATGAGTGAAACACATAATTCTTAAAAAACTCTGATCCGCTCTACACTACATTGATTAGAGGATCAAAGTGCTGTGGAAAACGAATGCTTTACCAATAGCACCAAGGTCACAGTGATATAGCACACAGAATCTGCAAGTGTATTGCACAATAGCATTCGCACTGTTGATTGTTTATTCATTTATTTTGAACAAACTGACCTACTCACTAACATTAACTTACACAAGCTATTAGTTGAAGCTTTTAAACCTGCCCCTGAGTGAACCTGCTCCTCTACAGTACGCTGCCTACAGGAGCTGCTTTTCTCCTCTTTGATTAAGTCTGTAACATTCAATCCATCAGCAGCCATGCACTTCAGCTCCAGTGAGAAAAGATACAGCTCTTCTCCACTTGCTCTCCTGTTCAAACATATTAACACGGATCAAGTGGGCCATTGACTGCCCCTGCTAGACCTTGATAGTCTGTGCCTGATGCAAATAAAGAAGCATCTATGTTAATGTAATGTTTAAAATAGTACTCTCCAAAATCCACTTGTTTATTGACATATTTGCACCTGATGAGCAGCTAAAGGAGCAGAGGCTACTAACACTAATAGTAAAAAGCCCTACTGTTGAACCTTCTACTGTACCTACCTATTAATGATCTATTTAAAAAAAAAAGTACTCATCGTCACATCTGTAGCAAAAAAATATATCATACCTGTGCTGCCGCTACATATCAAGACCAGTACACTTCAATATCATCAGAGCAGATATGGAAATAATATGGACGTACTCGTTAAAGATGAGGTCAGGGGCAAAGTAGAGCATCTGTCCATTGGTGTGTTTGTAGGAGCGCCAGCTGAGGCCAAAGGAGGACAGACACATCCAGGAGTACTGGATCAGGGTGATTTGGTCCTCGATGGGCAGGGCCCGAAAACCTAAGTCATACAAAAACAACATGAAGTGTAGTGATTTTATACATTTGGACTTAAGCAGCATATAATTAAGAGGCATTTATTTAACAGGGCATGAGCATGTGCGTACCTGCATCTGCATAATCATACTGTGTCTTCGCTACAGGGTAGTTTCTGTGCTAAGATTTGTTTAGACACGATAACCACAGAATTATTCACCCATTCTTGTTTGATGCAGAACCCTCAAAGGCCTCCAGTTATTGGTATGTTGTGTATAAGACACCAAAAATAGAGTCAAATAGGAAACTTGCCAAACTCTCAATCAAACTCTGGCAAGAAACTCCTCATGCAAAACAGAGGACAACTGAGGACACACAAGTCACTTTTGAAGTTTTAAGGCCTATTTTAGTTTTATGCATGTCAAGCTGTCAAACTGTTTTTAACTAAATATTTGAAAAGGTATGTCAGATGCCTAGCTCAACATTAACTTATGAAAACTGTCTGTGCACTACGAGATTTTGTTTTTCAAGTTGGTCTAAACATTAGAAAAGTATGTTCTAATAATGTAGCTTCCACTGACTAATGAAAGAAGAGTCACAAACTTTCCTTGAACATATTCTGGCCCTGTATGTTAGCCCTGCCACATCCAGATGTAAACTGAATGCAGGTGATGGCATGTCTGAAAGTCGAAGGTACTCATTTTGACCCTTCTGTCTGGCTCCCCTTCTATTTATATGTCCGGATATGGCAAGCAGACACCGTAGAGGTATCAAATATTTGCAATACAGCAAATTAAACAGAGCTACCTGTGAGGCATCTTTCAATTTGTCTTCCACAGTCTGGTATTTTCTGGATTTTTGTTTATTCCTATGCTGTGTCTTACACAGTAGGTAAAAATAAATGAGATAGACACTAGATGTTCTGTTCAGCATCTGACAATGGTGATGTAAATGAGTTCAGTGTGGAAATCTTTATCTTGATTCTGTGTTATGGTAAAACAGGATTCACTGCTAATCGTGTTGAAGCTTTGCAGAATGATTTACAGACTTAAAATTTAAAAGTAAAATGGGCTGCTGGGTGCAGTGTTGTATTCTCAAACTGTAGAGATCAAAACTGAAAATGTAGGCATGTTATCTTCATTAAAACCTGTCAGTAACTACAGCATAGACTCCTACCTCATTTATTAGACTTAACACTCACATAAAACAGACAAAATTTAAATAGTTTCTTATAAACAAATTCATTATAAATATCTACAGACATAGACTGAAAATATACAATTTATTGGATTTATAAGTTGCTTGAATCTAAATAACTACAGCCTTTTGTAAAAGTGACTTTCAAAAGCAAAAGAGGAAAATCGCTTGACTTCTCCGACAACCTAAAACACTGCAACCATCTCAATTAAATCAAACCTTTAGAAAAGTCATTTACATATTTTACACATACTGTAGTACCTGTGAGAGCATTGTTTCAACTCTTTTCCACTTCTGGCTTAAAACACTCTTAAACTGTATTTAGCACAGTGGCCCTGACAGCTCAACACACTGCAACACGCACACAGAAAAATCACAAAACATCTTCACCAATCTGACAAGAGAGACACATTCTGCAAAGTGAGAGAACACGACCAAATACGGAAACAAGCTGCAAATACTGAAAACACAACCATATAGAACATTTCTATGGGAAAAAAAGGGGGAAACTTAGCAGTAACTCTCCTAAATAATTCCACCAAAACACATTATGTATGCCTCTGTCACCATCTGCAATTGCTTTTGATTCTTTCTTTTTTCTTCTCACTAATTTTATGCTTATCTTAGAATATATTTGTTTTGTTGAAACAAATGTAACTTATTATTAGCAGTAGTAGCGATACTGGCAGGGGGAGTAGTATTACTTTGGAGTTGGTGCTACAGCACACTATTTTTGTTAATATAATGGTTTCTTTTGTTGCTATGTTTATCATTACTTTTAACTCTTTCTCCCAACATACTGCTGTATAATTTCCTCATTATTATTTATTGAACTTTCTTTTGCTTTGTTTTGTTACATTTTTGTTTTAAACCTATCTACCAGTCACTTGATTTATTGTCCTTACAAATGCACAACGTGCAGACTCACCCATAAACAATAATACACTCTCACCGCTCATGCCAGCATTCTGTTCTCTAGTACACCCTGGGTGTTTTTAAATTTCTTTAGCTGTGTCTTTCCTCTCTGCTTTCTCTCCCTGACCATTACCCATCAAGCTCACTGTATATGGATTTATAGCCCAGAACAGCCATATCAGCCTTCTGATACTCTAGACACAGGGATGCTAACATGTCTGTATCATGTGACCAGAATGTAAACAAACAGAAAAACATTTTCCTGATTTTCCAATTTTACCATTTAAGGATAGTTTGACTTTGACTACATGAGGCAACAACAAACATGTCTCCGTGTCTCAGCTGTGTTCATCACACTGTAGTGTTTCCATTGTTGTCTGTGCTATCTGCAGCCTTTTTCAATGTGGTTGTTTTGTGTTTTTTCACATTGCAGCATTTGTTTTCTAAATGCAGATGTTGGTGCAGATATTTCCTTAATTTACTTGTATTTTGTTTATTGTGTGTTTCATTAAGCTGCATTGTGCTGAGCTCTCACAGCCACGGCCACCATAGTTTAGGCCTCAGCCCACTGCTCCAGTGCTCACTAACCTGGAAGTACTTTGGCCCACTTCACCATGCGTACCATCTGCTTTCCGGCCAGGTGGTTGAGACTGGACAGCAGGTGGTCAGTGGTGTCAGGCTGTGTGTTGTCATAACCAGAGTACACCTCTTCAGGCTCGATCAGCTCCAACACGCTGCAGATGGAGGGTGCCAGAAAAGGTGTGACCACTCCAGGCCCATGGGGGACCAGGGCTTTGGTAGCGGTGGCATTCAGTTCCTTCTCAGAGGACAGGTAGACGCCTCCAACACCACCTGTGGCAGTTTGGCCATCCTTAGAACCCTGCAGGTCCTCGCTGACTCCCTTCAGTTTCCCTAGCTTCTTGGACTTTCGTGCTGTGGGGAAAACAGCCTTAATGAACACATTGTTGATGTTGGAACTTCTTACATTCACAATCTGAGGTTATATTTATAATGTGACATGCTCTGACACACATATATGTATAATATAGTACATTTTATTTCTCACAATTTACACAGCACAGTTTTCAATATAATATAGGCTATTCACAGGACTTGTAACTATTTTCATTGCTTTTTCCAGCCTGCACTGTGCCACTGGACCCCCACTGATTCAAGATGCTTTTTGCTCAGGACCTGCGTTTTTGCTGTAAATGTCATTAGTGCAGGTTTTGTACTTTTAATATGCTAATACAATATGTTATTACAGCCTTATTCCAGTGGTCATTTACTAAACCAGTGTAAGGTTCCTGAAGAAACTCATGCATAGAGAGCTTGTGGCTGGGTGTTGTTGATGTTGTTGGCCTGTAAAGCCCATTTAGATTTTTTTATGTGATATTGGGCTGTAAATAAACTTGATGTGGCATGACAGCTGACAGTCCTCATGCATTTCTCAGTGACAGTTTTCATAAACCAGTACAGTGCTTTAGATAAGGTCACAGAATGTGTCCAAAGCACTGAAGTATCCCTGAGCTTTTAGAGCTAGTATTCATTATTCACTGCTTTTGCATATCCGAATAGATAAAATTACAGAAAGCACAAAGTATCCCTGAGCTTTTAGAGCTAGTATTCATTATTCACTGCTTTTGCATATCCGAATAGATAAAATTACAGAAAACGGTGCTAGTCTTTATTATTATACTTTATACCACAGGATCAGATGAAAATTGGGTGAATTAGGTAATTATCATCAAGAAATCAAAGTTACATTAATTTTAATCAGTGTTTAATTTTGACACAAAGTCAAGAAACTTTGCTTGGAAATTACAGTGGCATAAGCATAAAAGCATAACATTTAAAATCATTTGTATTTTTATTTTTATTTTTGATCTGATTTATTCTTTCAAGCATGTAAAGACAGTTGATATGTCAACACACATAATTTTACACATAATCCAGTATCAATTTGCTTATACCTAGTACATGCTTGAATGGAGTAGGAAGAAGTCAGACTTATCCAGTCCTACCCCATGACATCATCTTACCATCATTGGTTTGCAAGCAGTATCTCTACATAGATAATTCTCTTCTACACCACACAAGTAATATACTAAAAAAATTATAACAG